GAAACGCCGACATTGTGATGAAGTCGAGCATTTGTTTGAGAGACGCCGGACAGAATCGGACCCAGACAAGAGGAGAGATTTGTCGAAATCTTTATGGAGAGCTTTGAGAAGAGAGAGGAGGCAAAGGCAGGAGGAGGAAGTTGAGGAACTAGTGCTGAAGGGCATGGGTTTGTCGCGCCTTAAAAGATTGGAAGAACGACATAATGGCGTGACACGCACCGTGAGAATGAAAGATTCGTCAGGGAATGTTTGTTCTGACAAAGACTCACTCTGCGAAGTTTTTGCTTCTTTTTATGAAGATTTGTATCGAGAGAGCGAGGGTAGGGAGCATGTCGTGCCACCGGAAGCCCGGATAGCATTGAAGAAACTGAAGTCAGGGAAGACGGGGGCTGATGATGGACTGGTGGCAGAAATGATGAAGACTGACCACCCCGGGCTAGTGAAGACGATTTCTAGTTTCTTCACAGACATACTACAAGGAAGTTTGTTGCCGCCAGCAGAGTGGAGACGCATGAAGTTTCGGGTGATTTTCAAAAAAGGGGATCCGGCCATGCCCCAGAACTATAGGCCCATCGCGATTTTGCCTGTGATGGCTAAATTGTTCAGCACCGTGTTGTACAATCGGATCGCGACATACATAGACGCACGCTTGGGGAGGGAGCAGTTCGGATTCAGACCTGGGAGAGGGTGTGCGGATGCCATACACATTGTGAGGACAATTGTAGAGAAGTCTTTGGAATGGGGAGAGGAGCTGTGGGTTGCGACCCTGGATGTTGAGAAGGCTTTTGACAGAGTGCACCACTCTGCACTGTTTGACTCGCTTGTAATAAACGGGGTAGATTCGCAAGTGGTTGGGGCGCTCCGGCGTTTATATTTTGATGTGAAGGGGTATGTTTCTTTGTGGAGAGGCGCTGAAAGCAGGGAGTTTGAAGTGCAGAGGGGGGTGAAACAAGGAGATCCTTTATCGCCAGTGCTTTTTAATTTGATATTGGACGGAGCTTTGAAAGAGGCCAGCGCAGTATGGAAAAGGAGGGGGTACGGCACGAACGTAGGATCTGAGTTGCGCGGAGAGAGGCTGACTCACATTGCGTTTGCGGATGATCAGACTTTGATCGCGCGGTCTTGGTTATCAATGAGACGGATGCTTTCGCTGTTGCGGGATGTGTTGGGTAGAAGAGGGCTTTCGCTGCATCCGACGAAATGTCAAGTACAGACCAACAGGGAGGATGCCGGCCGAGGGCGGGTTCAGATAGAGGAGGGTTTTTCCATCGAAATCTTGCCGCACGGGTCACGTTTGGAACTTCTGGGGACGACGTTGTCCCTCGATGACGTGACAGGGAGCGAGATTGCACACCGAATTGCATGTGGTTGGTCGAAGTTTTGGGCGATGAGGAGGTTGCTGACAAGAAAGGGTTTCTCATTGAACAAGCGTCTCAAGCTATTCAACAGTTCTGTGGCGAGAACAGTCCTTTGGGGGGCAGAATCGTGGACCCCGAGAGTCGACGAACTAAGGAGAATACGTTCAACACAAAATGCCATGTTGAGAAGGATTGTGAATAGCGGAAGGGCTGAGGGGGGGGATTGGGTCGAATGGGTGCAACGAGCGACCCGGAGAGCGCGGCAGCTCGCGAACACGGCGGGCGCAAAGGACTGGACACGAGAGCATTTTGAGATGAAGTGGAGATGGGCAGGGCACGTCGCTCGAATGCCCCCCTCTGAATGGGCCCTGATTGTGACAAAATGGAGAGACTCTGCGTGGCAGACAGCAGCTGGCGGTCGATGGTTGCGACCAGAAAGGCCGACTCGTCGACGATGGATGAAGTTTGAATATGCGTTGCGCAAATTTTGTGGTGATGTGGGACACGGAGAATGGATGGTGAGAGCGCAGGACAGGGAGGCATGGCGAGAGTTATCAGTTACATTTGTTGATTGGGCCACCACGCCATAACCTTGCTTCATCTTGCTTCAAGACGACATACTTGATTGTTTTTGTGATGACGCACTTTACACGTCGTGCTGGTGTGTGCGTGTGTTGTTGTTTGTGTCTGGTGTGTCATGTGCGCAGGGTCAATAAGAGTTTGCCCGCGCGGCGTTTGGCCGACCCATCGCTGCAAGTTTCACCGTCCCGCCCCTCGTGGGCCTGTCTCAGCCGGGACTTCACGCTTCACGCTTCCTCCTCCCCCTCCTCCTCGTCTTCCTCCTCCTCCTCCTCCTCCTCCTCCTCCTCCTCCTCCTCATCCTCCCCCTCCTTCTTCTCCTCCTCCTTTGTCCTCCTCCTCTTCCACGGGGCGCGCTGCGCATGGTGAGCATGACTTGCCACCCCCCCGGCCGCCAGGCCCAGGCCCGGGCTTCCTCATGGCGCGGAGAGTCCTCGGCGGCCCTCGGCGCCTGGGGGGCCCTCCTCGCTGGGTGCCGAAGAGGTCGGGGTCCCAGACATTGTCGTGTCGCTAGAAAGCAGGACCCGAGGTTTTCACTTATTTTCGGCCCCAGGGGGCCCTCGCCGGGCCTCGGGGCTGGCAGAACACGGCTCAGGACGAAAAGCCGGTCCCGGGGAGAGGGTCGGGACTTCCAGGCACGCCGTCCAAGATTCACCAGGACGTCGCATGTCTGGGGTCGGGCGGCGGCGGCGGCGGGATCTGGAATCTGCACGAGTGCGCCAGTCTCTCCGAGGCCCCTTCCTCCCTCCACTCCACTCCACTCCACTCCGCTACACTCCTCCCTCCCTCCCCCTCCCTCCCTCCCTCCCTCCGTCACCCCCTCCCGAAGCCCTTCCTCCCCCTCCCGTGTTTTCCTCCTCGGCCTCCCCCCCCTCCTGGAAGCGCGCGAGGTCGAGACGGGAGACGGCGCGGGGATCCTCCTCTCGATGCCGGACAAGTTCTTCCGGCGCGTCGTGAAGGACCTGCCTCCCCTCCGCCGGCGGCCCAGCGTGCCCCCCGCGGCGCTCCGCGTGGAGGTCCCGTCTCCGTCGCTGGGGTCGTCTTCACGGGCCCCTCGGCAGTCCACGCGCCTGGTGAGGACGCGCGCCCTCACCCGGGTTGCCCTCGCGTCCCTGCCTTCTGCGGCCCGCCCTTTCGCGTTTTCGCTTGCCTGTCCCTGGGTTGGGATACAGTTTGGGCGCTGAAGAAGGAACCCTTTCCGTCGGGGAGGGGCTCGGTGTTCCTTGATTGTTTTGCAGTTTGCCTTTGGGTTCCCTAAGGTTTTCCATGTGCAATCGAAGTTTAATGTATGGGACAAAGGGGCCTCGTTCCTCATTTACGGTTCCTTAGGTCAACGCCCCGACTATACCCCTTGCGACCATCTGGGGTTTTGCTCGCCCGCCGCCCCAACAATCCAAACTTCGCCCTCCAAGGGTCTTGCGCCCTTGCCACTCGTCCTGAAAACACCTTCTGATTCTATTCCGCGGAGGAGGAGGTACCGACACCGCTACACTTCCCTCGTTCCCGCCTTTCATGGGCCTCCAGGGAGGCCCTCGTCGCCACTGCCAGATTCGCATCGAAATTCTGGTCAGGGCGCACCCCAGGAGAGGACTGGGGAGTAGCCGTATGGGTATTTTGTTGGTTTCCCCATCTGCGGGTCCACGCGACGCTGGGGCACCCCCGCCTGGGGTTCACCCGGAGTCATGGAGGAGAAGGCAGAGAAGGAGGAGGAGGATGAAGCGGGCTGGAGGAGGGGGGGAGGAAGAGGCGAAGGAGAGAGGAGGAGGAGGAGGAGGAGGAGGAGGAGGAGGAGGAGGAGGAGGAGGAGGAGGAGGAGTAAGCGGAGGAGGAGGAGGAGGAAGAGGAGCAGCGAGCCAGAGGAGAAGGGGGTAATCCTCCTTCGGTCTCCCCCTCCTCTTCCTCCGCCTTGCTTCCAGGCCTCCCAGATGGGGTCGGAAGATCGCGCCGCATCGCCGATGCATAGCCGATGCGGCTCGATGTTGGGCCCGATTTGCTTCTCGCCGTCGTCGCCGATGCATCGCCGACGTCGGCGATGCATCGCCGGTGCATCACCGATGCATCGCCGATGCATCGCCGATGCATCGGCGATGCGGCGCTGTCCCTGGACCCCTCTCGCCCCCCCTTTCTCGGGAGATGCAACAACTCCAGAGAGGTCGGATTCGGTATCGGTGCTAGTAGTAAGTCGGGCGTGTCCCTCTACAGGAGGAATATTCCGAAATAGTCGAAACATAGTCTGGGGACGTTTTTTTTATTCTAATCTTGATTGTCCGTAAGGGCCTCGCCCCCTGCCGCCGGCCCCCTCTCTATAAGGATGGGATATAACAGAGTCGCGTCGGTGCGTCTCGGCGCTGCCTTGGCGCATCTGGGAACTGCATGCGGGGACGGATAGGAGTCATCAGCCTGACACATTGAAACGTTGGCGTTATCCTAGTGCCCGGGTTGTGGGTCTGAGGCCTCTTGTATATGTGTTGGGGTGTCGTGGGGAGCCTCTCGGGGGCCACTTGGAGGCGGTTTGGGCGCCTCTTGGGGGCCTTTCGGGCCTTTTGGAGGCCTATTGGGCGCGTCTTGGGCGCGTCTTGGGGCCTCTGGATCGTGGCCTCGAGGGCGCGAATGCGGCGCGATTTGCAAGGCATCGTGGCTTCGGGGGCGCGAATGTGGCGTAAGTTACGCGGGATCGTGGCTTCGTGGGGGCAAACGTGGTGTAATTTACTCGGGATCGTGGCCTCAGGGGCGCGAATGTGGCGTAATTTACAAAGGGATCGTGGCCTCGTGGTCCCAGAGGCGATAACGTGGCGTAATGTATTGGGGATCGTGGCCTCAAGAACGTGACTATGGCATGTTTTAAAAGGGATCGTGGCTTCGGGGGCGCGAATACAATGTAATTCATAGTAAAGGATCTTGGCCTGGGGGACGCGAAAACATTGTAATGTACGAGGGAATATTGCGGCGGGAGCGCGAATCTTGTGTATTTTGACATGTCCCACGGCCCCCCAGAAATTCAGACAACGAGATTCGGGGACGCTAACCAGGGCCCTTTTCGGTTCCCTCTCCTCGCGCGGAATTTGGTTTTGGCGCAGGGAGCAGCAAGCCTAATCCTCGCAGCCTGATGGCCCCACAAGGGGGCAAGCGGATTCTTGGATATTGTTGGACTATGATTAAGAATTTGTTATTCCAAAACCCGCCTGTAGGAGGACATGACCGACCTAACGCTGGTACACCCGTGGTCGAACATTGGCAATGTCTGGCACAGTCCCGCCTAATCTGGATTCAACCCGCTTGATCCGGGCTTTTAATCTTGGTTTCAAGCTTGGCTAATCAAGCTTGATGGCCCCGTTATCGGGCTTGATGGACCTTGATCGTTCCCACAGAACCCTGCCAGGAGTTCCTCCCTGACCCCTCGTCGCTCCTCTCTCTCTTCCCTCCTCCTCCCCCTCCCCCCTCCCCCCCATTCTCTATCGCGTCCCCTCCCTCGTACAGTCAACCCGCATGACAAGGATAGGCAACATTCCCAAGGGTACCCTTGCATCCTCGCCCCTTCGGCCCATCCTTGGCCACTTTCGCTGGCCGCGACCCGCTCGAAAAGCTTCGAACTGGCCTTCCCAGGCCCTTGCTTTGTTCCTGCTCGTTAGCATATGTCACGTGTGCGGAGCCGCTTTGCTGTGTCCCTGCTCGCAACGCACACTGCCAGAGGCGGCGGAGAGCTTGAGAGATCCACCTACCAAAAATATCCCCCCGCACGCGTGCGCCCGCGCGCGCCCCGCCTGCTCGCGCCTCCGCGCGCGACTCCGGGCGCCCGCGGCCAACCCGCATCGGGCGCGGGCCTCCGGGGAGGGCCGCGGCTCGCTGCAGAGCTGGCCGGGCCCTCGCCGTCCTCTCGGGAGGCTGGCGGCGCGCACAAGGGGGGGGGCGGGGAGGGGGGCAGGCTTCTTAGAAGGAGGCTGCTTCTTGGAAGGCGCTGGCCTCACATCTATAGATCAGGCCCGCGCCTTCTGCTAAGAAGCAGCAGGGGTGCTTCGCAGAAGCCATCACGCCTCCCCCCGCCGCCCCCTCTGCGCGTGGCTGCGGAGGGGTGGGCGGCAGGCGCTGGAGTGGGAGGCAGGAGGTGGGCGAGGAGGGGGGAGGGGGGAGGGGGGGGAGGGGGACGAGGAGCAGGAGTCGAGGAATAAGCCACGCCATGAGCATGCTTTAGCTCGTGGCGCTCCGCGCGGATGTCTTGGATCCCTCTGGCCCCCCCCCCCCCCGGCGGCGGTGCCTCCAGGGCGCCGCGCCCCTGGTGCGCTCCTCGCTCCAGGGAGGGGGGCCCAGCCTCAGCGCAGATCCAAGAAATCCGCGTGGAGCGCCAAAGGTTTATGATTATGTCGGGCGTGGCCCCCTACAGGGGGATTTTCGACGAGAAATAAAAAATAACCCAAAAATGCCCCGAAAAGATCAACAAATACTCAACAAATAGTCCCCAGACTATTTTTGGATCATTGTTTGATTATTTTCCTGTGGTATTTTTTATTTTTCGTCGAAGATCCCCCTGTAGGGGGACAGGCCCGACTTAAGTTCATGATGTGTATACTGGCTTCTCTTTTCCGAGGAGGAGGACGAGTGCGCAGGGAGGTGGAGGAGGGGGAGGAGGAGGAAGAGGAGGAGGAGGAGGAGGAGGAGCATGAGGAGATTGAGGAGGATCGCTACTTCGACGGGGGGGTGGTGCTCGTGGAGATGCACCGAAGCCCTACCCAGACGACGAGCAAGCACTCTGACGCGCCACCAACGTGCAGGCACGGAACCAGGCCTCGCTCGAGGTGTCCGTCGCCCGCGCCCGTCGAAGCCTAGGCCAGTACGCCGTCGGCAACGTCTTCTTCGCGCCGGGCACCAACTTCATCGGCGACGCCAAGCGCATCTTCGAAGAGTACGCGCGCATCATCGTCGGGCTCCCGGCAAACCAAGCGGCCGTCCCTCGAAGGAGAAAACATACAATAAACATTTTTTTTTGGCGCTCCGCGCGGATTCCTTGGACCCGCGTTGGCCCCCCCTAGCGGCGCCTCCGGCGCAGCCCCTGGCGCGCTCCGCGCGCCAAGGAGGGGGTCCGAGCCCAGATCCAAGAAACCCGCACGGACTCTAACAGTTTATGTTTACGCCTTTCTTTCTTCGTCTATTGTCGGGGCGCTGAAGAAGGAACCCTTTTACTTTTGAAGTGGCCCGTGTTCCTTAGTTGCTTCACGGTTTGCCTTAGGTTTTCTTTCGGTTTTCGATCGGAAGCCGAAGTTGAAATTGAGGAAAAGAAAGGGCCCCGCTCCTTATTTCTCGTGTCTTAGGTCCACGCCCCGACTGCATTCCCGTGCTCCGTCTTCATTCAGGGTCCCCCAGGCGGCGCGGTGACCGCACCGTGCGGTGGGCCCGTGGGGCTTCTTCGGGGCGACCTGCGCACGGCCCTGGGCTTCTCGGCGCCGTCGTGCTCTCGGCGGGCGTCCCTCGGGCGGTTTTGGGGCGCCTCTCCGCGGTGCCCGGGGAGCGGTGCGGGTAACGGATACCTTGCGGGGAGGGTCTTTGGGTGAATTCCGAGGCCCCCGAGAGCGGTCTCTGAGGGTCTTTTGGGTGAATTCCGATGTCCCCCCGCGCGGTCTGCGACCGAGCGCGCGGTACCGGGGCGCCCAAGAAATCATCCTCCGCCCTCTTCCCCCCCTTCTGGTCTGCCGCCGTCTCGCTGCTGGCTCCTCTGCTCCTCTGCTCCCTTCCTCCAACTCGTTTTGTTGCTGTTGAACGCTCGTCCCTTCATGGATGCTTCTGGATACTCCCTCTCTCCTCCCTGGATCTCTCTTTCCTGCTCCACCCTCTTCCCTTGCTCTGCCCCCCGTAGCCTCCTTCGCGCCCCATCACCCTCCCCCTTCTGCCCGCTCCAGGGTCGGTGAGGCCGTGTTGGCATCGGCAGCGCTCTGGGCAGTTGTGCGAATGTCGGTTGCAGGCTGGTTCGATCCGCCTTCCTTAGATCGCGCCCCTCCTCGTTTCCCCCCTCTTCCCCGTCCAACGTCTCCTCCCTCTCTTCTTCCGTATTCCCTCCCTTGGGGTGCTCTTTCGACTTTATTGCTGGGCAGCCGTCCTGCCTTCCTTGTCCTCCTCGCATCTCTATGTGTTATTTCTATCTAAGACGCCTACGGCGAATCACCGCCGCCCCCTGTCTTTTTGGAAGCGCCTATGTGACCGATAGTCTGTCCATGGCTCGGCCAAGCTATCGGACTATCGTTTGCCCCAGCCGTTGCGGAAACCCTTCGGGGAGCATGTGGGGGAGAAAGAAGAAACATAATATACATACTAAGAATAACAATGATAAGAAGAAGACGAAGAAGAGGAGAGGGAGGAAAAAGGAGGATGAGGCTTCTCGGGAGCCTATTGGCACACTCTTAGGGGTCTCTTGGGAGCTTCATGGGGGCCTCTTGGAGACCTCCTCTGGCCTTTTTGGGCATTTGGGAGCTTCTTCCGGGCCTCTTTGGCCGTCGTGGGGCGTTCCTGGCATGTCTGACGCAGTCGGAAGCCGTCTTGGGGGCCTCCCTGAGCCGTCTTTGGGCCTTCCCAGGACGTTCCAGGGTTGTCTTGAAGGCCAGTGTGGGCGTCTTGGAGGGTGCGTAGATTTATCTTAGAGATCATTTGGGGCGTCTTGGGGGCCTCTTCGGCTGTCTTGGGGCCGTCGTGGGGGCCTCTTGGGTCGTCATAGGGCCACCTTGGAGGCCTCTTGGGCGATCTTGGGGCGACCTTTCGGGCCTCTACATCTATGCGTATTGCCTCGTCACCCCTTCTTGCATAAGTATCCTTTTGGAAGCCTCGCGGGCCGTCTTAGAGGCTTTTTGGGTGCCTCTTGGGCCTTCTTAGGGCCATCCTAGGCCGTCAGTGGTGCATCTTAGGCCATCTTGGAGGCATCTGGGGCCATTTTAGTCGTCTTGGAGGTTACCGTGGCCGTCTTTGAGGCCACGTCGGTCGTCTTGGAGCCACCTTGGCGGCCATCTGGGGCCATCTTGGCTGTCTTAGAGGCGGTTGGGCAATTTTTTCCGGCGGATTGTGCAGCCTTCTGGGTGGCTGGCGCAATACACCGACACTTCATGGGGAGTTCTGTTGGAAAAGAGCCAAAACCAAACACCATCAGAAGTTCAGCACGCCAGGCACCACTGTGGCAAGCCAACAGGGGGCGGCTGATCGAAGACGCCTACGGCGAATCACCGCCGTCCCCTGCCTTCTAGAATCGCCCACGTGGCCGAGCGCTGTGGCAAGAGCTCTGCCAAGCTATCGGACTATGTGTTCCCCCCAACCGTTGTGGAAACCCTACGGGGATCACTAGGGTGAGGATGGCGGGGGAGATCAGAAGGAGGCGGAGGAGGAGGAGGAGGAGGAGGTGGAGGAGGAGTAGGTGGAGGTGGGGGAGTTGGGAGCCTCTGGGGACACTCTTGGGGCCTCCTGGCAGCTTCCTGGTAGCCTCTTGGAGGCATCTTGGCGGCCTTGGGCCTCTCGGCGGCCTTTGGGGGCTTCTCGGGGACCTCTCGGGCCGTCTTGGTGGGCTCCTGGCCCGTCTGACGCCGTCGGTAGCCGTCTGGGCGGCCTCTCTGGGCCGACTTGGGGCCCTCATGGGGTGCTCCAGGGCCGTCTTGGGGGCTCTCTTGGGCGTGTTAGAGGCCTCTTGGCCCGTCTTTGGGTCCTCTTCCCGCCGTCTTGGGAGCGTCTTGGGATGTCCTGAGGCCATCTGGGAGGCCTCTTGGGCGCTTTGGGGGCGATCTTTGGGGGCCTCTTGGGCTTTGAAAAAGAGCAACGGCAATCCTTGAAACACTTTAGGACAATCACTGATGTTAGCCTCTTCGGGCCCTCCTGGAGGACCTTTCGGAGGCCTCTTTGGCCGTCTTGGAGGCCTCTTGGGGCACCTCTTGGGCAGTCTTGGGACGTCTTGGAGGTTTCTTGGTCGGACTTAGAAGTATCTTGGGCTCTCTTGGGTCGTCTTGGAGGCCATCTTGGAGGCATCTTGGAGGCCATCTTGGAGCCGTCTGCAGCAGGAGAAGCCTTTGCAACTACCTCTTGCGATCCCTTGCAAGTCCTTCCGGGTGGCCCGCGGGACGGGCCAGAGCCCCAGGGGAGAGCTCTTTTGCAAAAAGAGCCAAAACCAACACCGAAAGGGTCCAGCACGCTGGGCACCCCTGTGGCAAGCCAACAGGGGGCGGCGGATCCAGTGGCCTGCGGCCCATCCCGCCACTGTGCCTTGGATATTGGTGCGAGGTCTCCTGTATGCATGTTAGGGTCTCTTGGGATGCCTCTCGGGGGCCTCTTGGAAGGCTTCTTGGGGGCATCGTGGGTTCTTCTTGGGGGCCTCTTGGGGCCGCTGGGGGAGCCGCTTGGGGGCCGTTTGGGGGCGTCTTGGGGGCGTCTTGGGGGCCGCGTCGGCTTTTTGGGCCCTGTGGGGGTGCCTCTGGGCCAGGTGGGCGGGTCTTGGAGCGATCGTGGCGTCGAGAGTTCTGTGGCCCCCGCTGTGCCCCGCCCCCTGGTTCCTGGAGGTGCCTTTCGTCGGGAACTGGAACACATACACTACCAGCAGCGGGCTGTTCTTCAATCCCAGGGCCTCTTGAGGGTCGGGGACGACGTCGGGAAGGTGTGGCGCATATTTTGTTCCGCTTCCGGGTACACCAGGATCTGCTTTCCTGGTTGCAGATTTCAATGCAGGGCTGGGGAATGCGTCGGTGTATAGAGTTCGTTTCCCTACTTCGGCGCCGCCCCTGCCACGCTCCGCGCGCCGGGGGGGGAGTGTTCGGCGTCGATCCAAGAAATCCTCACGGGCTTCGAAGAGTTTGTGCTCGTGCAGTTTGTTGTCGATTTTACGCACGCATGGTTCTCCTCTTCCTCCTCCTCCTACTCCTCTTCCTCCTCCTCCTTCTCCCGCTCTTCACCTCTAGGACGCAGCCCGCGGCAATACGGATGGCTCGGATGGGAATAGCTCTGTCTCACCGCTCGGGTGGATGCTGATATGTTCTTTGCCCACTGGTTCTACCACTGGTCCCTGAGCAGCTTGCCTGCAAGGGCTTTATGTAATGCTCCTAGCGCCCAGTGAGGGAACCCATGCCCCTGAAATCAGTGCCAACTCATGGAGAATGAGGAGGAGGAGGAGGAGGAAGAGGAGGAGGGGGAGGAGGAGGAGGAGGAGGAGGAGGAGGAGGAGGTGGAGCCCATCGTGACTGTGTAAAGTTTTGTATAGTTCTCTGCCGCAGCGGCGTTAACTATCCGCGACAGGGACCGACCACCCTCACGGGCTGTGCAACCCACAAGCACAGTATCCTCCTCCGGCTCTTCTGCACGGTCAGCGAACCCTCCAGGCTTCGCTGCGTGGGCTGGCGGGTGGTGCCGACCTGCAACGAGGGGCTCGGGGCCACCGCCAAGAACGCCGAGCCGCACATCGAGCAAGGCCAGGCGGGGCCGGGCCGCACGATGAGGCAGAGACGGCTGCGACGGCGTCGCCGTCGGCGTCTCGGATCCGTGTTGCGCGAGCGCGCTCCTGGGTGGGTCTTGGGGCCGATGGGCCAGGCGGGGGCACGACATCGACGCCGTCGTTCTGGAAGTCTTTCTCGTTTCCAGAGGTTCTCGCCGCCACGGCTGGACGCGGCCCGGGAGGCTGCGCAGAACGGACCGCCCTGGGACTGCGTCTCGGGCGGGTGGTGGCGGGTGGTGGAGCGAGGGGTGGAGATTTTCTAGGAAGGCGGGGGGCTTCTGGCAAGCCCTCCTGTCTGCCAGGATGCATTTCCAGGGGCCTCCAAGCCCTTCTGAGAGGCCCCTTCTCTTCGTAGATGGCCTCCTCCTCCTCCTCCTCCTCCTCTTTCTTCTCTTACTTCTCCTCCTCCTCGTTTCATTACCATTATCATTATCATCAACCATAAAACTATCATCCATTATTATTATTACGGTTCGAATTATTATTAATGATATCTTTGATTACTATCATCAGTATTATCATCATCCTCGTCCGCGTCCTCATCCTCATCCTCATCCTCTCTTCTTCTCGTCCCTCCTCTCTCCTCCACCTCCTCCTCCTCCTCGTCATCCTTCTCCTCCTGCTCTTCTTCCTCCTCCTCCTCCTCCTCCTCCATCCTCGTCCTCATCCCACCCTCCTCTGCACGCCGCCAAATCCGTGGCCCTCACATCCGGGCGCGGCAAGGAGGCAGCACGACCAGCGTGTTTGCACCGTCCTGTGCCCAGGATCCCTAAAGGGCCGGCCCTCCGCATCCGGCAAGCACGCGAGGGGCTCTGCGGTTCCAGTGGTGCCTTTCTCGACTTTGCGATTCTGGACGTCGCGGATGTCTGAGGGGCGAGAAGGAGGACGAGGAGGAAGGGGAGGAGGAGTGAGGAGTTAGGGGTCATTTTTCACGCTTCGCATACCCCCACCAGCCCGTTCAGAAACCATGCCCATGAGAGCTGACGGGACAAGGGACGAGGAGGCACATACTTATAGTGGAACAGAGGTCGGCGGATCCTTGGAGAACGGAGGCAAAGGGAGGAAGTGGAGGAGAACGAGGAGGAGGAGAAGGAGGAGGAGGAGGAGGAGGAACAGGAGGAGGAGGTGGAGGAGGAGGAGGAGGAGGGGAAGGGGGAGGAGAAGGAGGAGGAGGAGGAGGAGGAGACGGAGGAGGAGGATGATGCGGAGGGGGAAGATTTTTCGTTTGGGCCTCAGCGCCCCATCACGCGATTACTGAGCGGCAGGCAGCACAGGTGCAGGAGATGCGAGTAGAGAGCCACGCACCTGCCTCCGACGGCCCCACGGGCCAGGATCACCGAGGGCGCTCCAGTACTTGCAAGGTGCCTACTCTCAGACGTCCGCAAAGCACATGTCTGCCTCCACGTGATGTATCGCAGTCTCCCCGCGGCAGACCCGGGCCATTTGCGAGCAGTTACTACTCTGCGAGTAGTGGAACGCGGCAAAGTAATGACCACATTGGGTCTCGTCGTGGCCAGAAAAGCCTCTTTGTTCCCTGCATGGTGTTCCTTATCGTAGCACGATGGTTGTAATGGGTTGAGGAGGAGGAAGAGAGAGGACGAGACCACGGAGGAGGGCAGGGGGAGGATGACCAGGGGGCAGGGGGGTCAGGAGGAGGAGGGGACAACGTGCAAGTGGACAGGGAAGACGCTCGGCTACGATGCGACATGGGGACCATGGACGGAGGCTGTTGGAAGGGGCGGGGGGGCACACGAGACAGCCGCTGCCGACGCGGTGATTATCAGGACGACCATGGCGACGACGATACGCGGGTTGGCAACGCCGAGGGGGGCTGTGGTGGTCGGGGTGCGGGCCGGGTGCGGGACGCAGTCGGTGCGGGCCGTCCGAGACGGCGAATGAGCCGCTGGGAGAGCAGCCATCCCTGGCCTCCCGCTCCCTCGTAGGGGCCAGAGGCACACCGGGCGCGCCATCCAATGGCTCCGCCCTCGAGAGCCTCTCGACCCGCGAGGGCCCACGTTCTGGCGCGTGCTGGGGCAGGGCCTCCGAGGCCCTGTCTGTCCCGGGCGCAGGAGGGAGAGGACCAGCGGCGGCCTGGCCGTCGGCCCGGCGGCGCCAGGGGAAGGAAAGAAGTGGGGCGTCGGCATCCTTCGAAGAAGAAGAAGAGGCGCCACGAGCAGAAGCTTCTTTTCGGCGCTCCGCGTGGATCTCGTGGAGCCGCGCCGGGGCCCCCAGGGCGGCGTCTCGTGGAGCCGCCCCTGAGGCGCGCTCTCCGCGCGCCAGGGAGGGGGGGGGGTCAGCGCAGCTCCAAGAAAAATCTGCGCGGAGCGCCGGCAGTTTACAGTATCGTTTTTGATACATGCTCCGCGTGCGGATCATGTATTATAAAAATGCAAGGATCTAGTATCAAAAACAACGATGCGTTCATGCATACATGTACTCATATTTTAATCATGTATGAAAGATCCTATATGTTCTAAACTCCGATGTATTTAAAACTGCCCTGTGTGTTCGTGGCGCTTTTCCTTCTTCTAGTCCTCGTGTTCGGCGTCGGTGCCTCCGGAGTCGGGCCGTGGGGAGGCCGGGTGCGGCGGTCCCTGGGGCGTGCGGCGCCCAGCCATCGTGGTCGCCGAGGGGGAGTGCGCGGAGAACGAGGACCTCTTCATGGCGACGCTCTACCGGCTGCGCCGCACGGCCTCGTGGGCCATCAACAAGAGGCTGCAGAAGGGCTTCTACTTCTGCTCGCTGTCGCCACCTCGGGGGGGAAGCAGGGCCAGCGCACCAGGCTGAAACGTGTCCTCATCCCTGTGGTCGGCATCGGCTTATCTCGATGCCGATCTTAGGGGTTTCCTCAGGTTCTGAGGGCGCATCCCTGAGCTCGTCATCGCCTTTTGTCTTGTCAATCTTCGGGATAGGGATAAGTTCGAGGCTGGTTAACGGCGACAGGGGGGGGGGGGGCTGCGGGGGAGCTATCGGTCCCCGCGTCGCCCAGTCATCGCCGATGGGGGCCCAGTCGCCCAGGAGCGAGCAGGCTCGCTTGCGAGAGCCCATCGTCGATCTGTCGGCGACGTATCGCCGATTCCAGGGTCAACGTTTCTTTCCTGAGACCGCACCCCGTATCGTGCACCATCGGAGGAGCAGGAGGAGCAGGACGAGGGTGAGGAGGAAGAGGAGGAGGAGGATCGAAGCTCGAGGTTCGATGCTCAGATTGTTCTGCGTTTTCGTCGGTCTGCGGGCCCTGTTGGAGTTTTCCCGTCCCGGCGTCTTGACTGCGCCTCGTTCATGCTGGTTCGACAGTGCCCCTGGACAGGTTCAGGGGTCGAGATTCGAGTGCGATCAAGCTTTGCAGCACTGCCAGCGATCCCGGACAGCTAGCGTCCAGGTAGTTTGCGTCTGCAGCCATAGGGCTTCCCGTCAGCACGGACGCAAGCATATGGCGCTTCCTGTTCTCTTGTTCCTCGATGTACAGGTGCGCAGACTCAGGCGCATAACCCTTGATGCGAGAAGGCTCTGGGCAGAACACAATCATGCAAGTTGCGCTTGCTTGCCCATGCAAGGCTTTCTCGCCGCACCAGGGCTCCATCTAATTCCTTATTCTCAACGTCCTGCTTCTTCAGGCTAGCACGGACCTAGCGTATGTCTCTCACACGGTCAGCTTGGCCATTCGTTGCTTGCATGCACCCCCAACTGCACAACACACACACACGTATGCGCCTGGTTGCTGCCTTTCTTCATCTACCCACAGCGTCGTGTTTCCTCGGGCACCGTGATAATCCAGCTTGCCGGTTCACACCGACTTTCCCGGCGTCCGTCTGCAGGCTTGCTCACACCATCATAGTACTAGCAGCTACCCTTCTGATTAGCATCACCGCATCTCGGTGCCGATCTAAGGGCTTCTCCCTGGGCTTCCGAGGACGCACCCCCCGGAGATGCTCTTGGCAATCTTACGGCCAGGGCTACGGCCGAGGCTGGTTTTTTGTAGTACCGATCAGCGCCGGCCCTGATCGGCACACGGACGCCCCAGCTGCCTGTCCCCCTCGGCCGCGCTCCGCCCCCCTTTCCCCCCTTCTCGCCCTCTGGTGGGGAAGCTTCGGCAGCAAATCATGGGAACCTGGTATACCCTCTGAATGCCGTCTTTAGCGTCGACTCGTGTCGATTAGCGTCTAGGAGTCGATGAGATAGCGCCGATCTAGCGCCGATCAGCGTCGAACAGCGTCGATGAAGCGTCGATTTGCGTCGGCAATCGTCGATTAGCGTCGATTCGCCAGAGCCGACGAGATTGTGTGAGAGGCCCCCATGAGCTGCCGCCGAGGTCTGAGGGGCGGGTGCAGGGGGGTGGGGATGGGCTCACCCCCACTTCTCCGCCGTCGCGCTTGTTCTTGTTCCGCAGCAGGACGGCTCGCCTGCCCGGTGGCCTCGGCGCTGCCCCCCTTCCTCCGGCAGCGCGGGCCGAAGACGCACACCTGTGATCCGCACGGCCGGCTTCCGGTGCCCGCTGCCGCCTGGCGCCTTCCTCGCGGCGGTGGCTGTCGGCGCCCGAGGCCCTCGGGCGGGGCCACAGGACGAGGCTCTGAAGCCGCTCCAGAGCGCTCCAGAGCGCTCTGAGGCCGCGGCGCCCGAGATCGGGGGCCGCATGCGAATCCTACGAGACGTCCTCCCCAGCCGCCAGATCTCAGAGATGCTCGACGCGTCCGCACCCGACGTGATCCTCGTCCGTGCTGCGTCTGGGGACTTCTCCCGCGCTCCTCCTCCTCCGCGGCGCCCTCTGCTTTCCCTGGCCGCACGTGCGTGACCACAGTCCTGGCCCGGCCCACACCGTGTCACACGTATTGTTAGGTCGGGCATGTCTCTCTACAGGAGGAATATTCAAAAATTGACTTTCAAAAAATAGTCTGGGGACGATTTCTCGGTTCTTTTGGACCAGTTTGGGGTATTTGCGTCGACCATTTCTCATTTGTCGGTCAAAACCCGCCTGTAGGAGGACATGCCCGACCTAAAACAAGTGCTGTTTCGCAACGTGGGCTCAGAGTGTTCGCTGTGAGAGCGCGACCACACCGTTTGCACACGTGCTGGCACCAGTGGTAGACGGATGCTAAGGGTGTTGCTGTCTGCCTTGGGGGGGGCAGGATCTGTCCGCCCGGGCCGTGGCCAGCAGCAAGCAGCACTCGAATCGCGGCTTGTCCATCGGAGGTTCGTGGTTGTTCCCCGTTCCCCGTTCTCAACACAAGACGTGGACTGCCAGAGTTCGCAGGCGAATTGGAATATCCGTATCCGCGACCTCGCGGGCCAGGCCCTCCAAGTTCCCTCTTCATGTGCCTCTACAACGGCTCATTTCCACTGAGGGAACTGTTTCCAAAACATTGTTCTCGGGATTCGATCCTCAATAGCACCAGAACGCCGCTCATGGAATTTACATACCGCAAATCAACGTACCTGATGCACCCTCGGAATCCTGAATCATTCCAAAACACAATTCCTGGTACGAATTGCGAGCTTTAATTGTTTAAAGTGAATGTGCGCGGCGCTAAGGAGAGAGTCACATGTTGAACGCGACCAGCCCTCCATCTGTGAAACTCTTCAAGTTTAAAACGAATGTGCGCGGCGCTAAGGCGAGAATCACATTTTGAAAACGACCCGACCTCCATCTGTGAAACTGCTTCCAATTGTTGAGCTCGGTCGTAAATGGTGAGGAAGTCTCAGGCGAAACGCCCGGCCCGCCCTAAACATTAGTTCCGGGGTGCGACAGGAACAAGTTATTTCTAAGGACAAGGAATGGAGGATGAGAAAGAGGATGAGGAGGAGGAGGAGGAGGAGGAGGAGGAGGAGGAAAAGGAGGAGGAGGAGGAGGAACACGCGGAGGAGGAGGATAATCACGTGAAGGAGGAGGACTAGAGGAGCACGGGGAGGAGGAGGATGAGCGCGTGGAGGAGAAGGAGGAGGAGGTGGAGGATGAGGAGGAGGGGGAGGGCGAGGAGCAGGTGGAGGGGGATGCCGAGGAGGAGCAGGGCGAGGAGGGGCACGGCGAGCAGGAGCACGAGGAGCGGGCGAGGAACAGCGAGCGAGCGAGCGAGCGAGTGGCCGAGGTCCTGCCGGACCATCACCTACAAGGGGATGCTGACCTGCGGCCAGCTCTCCGAGTACTTCCCCGACCTCCGCGAGCCCGACTTCGAGGCGGCTGCCCCGCCAGGGGCCCAACCCCGTACCTGCTTCCCGCGGCCTCGGGCCCCTGCCCGAGTAGGGGGGAGGGAGGGGGGAGGGTTGACGGGGGAGGGGGGGGGGGTGAGGGAGGAGGGAGAGGAGGGGGTAGCGTTCCGAATCCTCACGTCGAAGAGCTGTTTGTGGACGGTTGTGCGGCGGCGTCTTGGGACGGTGAGCGGGATGTCGAGGCTCAGTAATTTTCTTGGCCCCGTCCCCGTGTCCTGTCCGACCTCTCTCATTTGCAAAATTTGGGCACTTCTTCACACCATCGAAATTTCGGTTGGCCTTCCCTGGCCCACCATCGACAGTAAGCACACCGTCGACGGACTCCTTCGGGGGAGAGCCTGCCGTGCAGCCCCTGATCAGGCCACTACCCACCTGGCGCCGAGCCTGGGGTGCCCTGGATGACCAGGGCCTGGCGCCATGGGAGGTGTGCCTGTTGTTGCGATCAATCAGGAGGGGAAAAACACACACAAACACAATTAATCGGCGATTCCCAGAAAATATGGGAAAAAACATGGGACGTGGGGGACATTTTTATTTGTGCGTATTTATTTGTGTGTCCCAGTTCCCCTTCAATCAAGTCCCGCATGACTGTTCCACAGCGTCGGGCCCTGGGGCCCACGGGGCGCCGTCGGTGTCTTAGGACACAGGGCGGTGGAAAAGCGGGTCAGGGATGGACGGTCGAGCCCCACGCCCCCCCGCCGAGATGGCAGGTCGAGGAAAAACCCGTGGTGCCTGCAAGCTACAGCGCCGGATCCTGAGCTACGTACGGAGGGGGGGGAGGAGGAGGAGGAGGAGGAGGAGGAGGAGGAGGAGGAGGAGGAGGAGGAGGAGGAGGAGGAGGAGGAGGAGGAGGAGGAGGAGGAGGAGGAGGAGGAGGAGGAGGCGGAGGAGGAGGAGGAGGAGGAGCAGTTTTCGGGTCGAGCTCAGCAGCATCAAGGTGGCCACTGCTTTACTCCCTGTCCCTGGCCGTCGGTTTTGGAGCTGCGACCGCGGTCGGCGCCCCACAGCAGTCCGCGACCGCGGCCCTGTCCACCGGTTTAGGCTGCCCGATGGGGGTCAGTGGCAGTGCTGCGACTGCCCCCCGACTTGTGAAGTTTCCCTCTCGGCTTTGCGCTGCCAACGCCGAGAGGTGTCCTGGCCTGGGTGGGGCCATTTCCAAGGGTCGTTTGCGTCTGAACAGCAAGGCCTGGCCCAAGTGTAATCAACTGTAGACTGACGCTGCACGGAGCTTGGCCGAGGTGGCCGCTTGTAGTTCCGACCCCGCCCCCTCTCAGCCTCCCCCACCTCCCCCGCGCGAACATGAAGTGGTGCAGAGAGTGGGGCTTGTTGTATGCCGAAGGTTTGGGGCTTTTGGCCGTTCCCGCGCTCAAAGGCTGTTGCGGGAGTGTGGCGGCCCCCTTCGTAAAGAGGCTTCCGCTCACAAGAGCAGGCGACGCTACCGCGACCGAATTTTCGAAGTTCGCGATCCGTACACGGGTTTGACCGTCAAGGGAGCGTGACTTCGCCTTTGTATTTTCGATCCCTACGCCTTTCGGCCCGGGAAGCGTTCGGCGGCGAGCGAGGGGGGGAAATAAGAACTTATCGGAAGACGGCGGGGCTTCTCAGAAGGCCACTGGTCTTCTGAGACATTGTTTTGTGTCTTCGGGGAAGGCTGAGAAACCATCTCAGAAATCTGGGGGGCTTCTGAGCCTTCTGAGAAGGCCCGTTCCTTCTCATTTCCCCCCCCAGGCGCGCCGCCGAAACGTGGCAGCGAGTCAAGTGTGAGGTCCAGAGTCCCGCTTGCAAGAGCACCCCAGTCAAAAGAGGAGGGGGGGAGGGAGGGGATGATCGAGGAGGGAGGAGAAGAGAGGATGCGGGAGGGGGAGGGCGGGCGGGCGGAGAGGGGGGGGGATGGGCAGGAGGGAGGGGGGGGTGAGGTATGCTGACGACGAGGACGGTGTGATGGTGATGGTCGTGGTGCTGATAGTGACTTTGGTGCTGATGCTGGCGGTGGTGTTATGGGTGATGGTGTTGACGTTGATGCCGACGCCGACGTTGATATTGACGTTGCTGTTGATGCGGTGGTGAGGCGATGGTGTTGATGATGTTGATGTTGACGATGGTGGTGGTGATGATGGTCATGATGGTGATGACGACCAAGCTGATGCAGATCTTGGTATAAAGATCAGTACTTCGGTGATCAAGAGGGGGAGGCTCAGGATGTCCGGTGGGCGCCCTCGGCACGTGCGTATTATCGTATACATACGTGTTTCGAGGCCCTGGGGCGCTTGAGAGCAGCGCCTGGGAATGCGTGAATTGAGCGATCCTCGAGCGGGTGCCCGTGGGATACGGGGCCTAGGAGCTAGCAGCCATGCGGGAAGTGTACGATCCTCGAGCGGGTGCGCGTGGGATGAGGGGCTTAGGAGTTAGCAGCCTTGCGCCATCCTTCAGCGGGCACGTGTAGAAAAGGGGGTTCAGGCTTGCGGGAAGTGCACCATCCTCGAGCGGGCACGCGTGAAATACGTGCAATGGGGGCACGGTGGTAGATATGTGTATGACACCTTCTGTCTGTCTGCCTGTCTATCTGTCTGTTTGTCCGTCTGGTTCTCTCCTCTCTCTCTCTCTGTCTCTCGTCGTCTGCTTGTCGGTCTGCCTGTCTGTCCGTCTCTCTGAGTTTGTTTGTCTCTCTGCCTGCCTGACCCTCTGACTTTCTGTCTGGCAGTCTTTCTCTCTCTCTCTCTCTCTGACATCCGCTCACGACGCCAACGTGGCCCTCGATGGGGCAGCACGCTGGCGGCGTCGGAGTCCACACAATGTCTCATCGAGCCCTTTCAGGCAGGACGAGGGACTATTCCTGTTTCTCCCACTCCCTGCGTTGCCGTATAAAGCTCTTTTGGTTTCCCTCCCCATCCGTCTGTCTCCTCCCTCCCTCCCTCCCTCTCGCTCTTTCTTTATGTGTTGTTTCTCTCTCTCTCTCTCTCTTTTTCTCACTCTCTCTTACCCTCTCTTCTTTACTCTCTCTCTCTCTGTTTACCCATCTTTATTTTATCTCCCCTCCTCTCTTTCTCTCTGCCTCCGACTGTCTGTTCCCAAGTATTCGTGCATCCTGCTTGCTTCCTTCGGGCACCGCGAGCCTCCCGCCCGTCCGGGAAAGCGGGAGCGACTGACATCCTCCCAGGCGCACGTGGCGATTGTGCACTCGCGCTTCTCCACGAACACGTTCCCGTCATGGTGGCCCCGCCCGGGACGCGGGGGATCAGGAGGAGTAGCTCAGAACCTGAAGTGGCCAGGGCAGTGGGTGATCTGGAAGAACTGCTCTAGCCAGCCTCCCGCTTGTGAGAGTTTGCCTGGTCTGCCTTTTGGTTTCATGTCTCCCAGACCGCATGTTGCCACTTGCCGACGTTGTGCGGTGCTCTTGTGGCGCAGGAACTATCCCAGATCAGCCATTCCAGGTCCTTCCAGGATCACATCTTGAGGGCCCACGCAGGGCCTCATACCCGGACCAAGCCCATCCCAGATAATTGGGCCTCAAGGACGCCGTCGGCTGCGCGCAAGGGTGACCCTTCGTGGCCTCTGGTGTTGGCCCACAGAGGGAGGAGGGAGGGAGGGAGGGAGGGAGGGAGGGAGGGAGGGCTTTTGACTATACTTAGCTCGTTGCAAGTTAGCTTGAGCGCAGCGGCCAGCAGGACTGGCACAGGCTGCACACGAGAAGCCCGAGAGCATGGACGCTGAGCTGCTTCCGCTCTCGTCCCGAAAACTGTCAGGAGAGAGGTATTGGCGCTGAGGGAGGGGAGGAGAGGAATCATGTCGAGAGAGGAGGATATTGCAGCGCCGTGCGAAGAGAGACATCAGCGGCACCCTGCTTCGTTGCCCATAGTAGGGCAGCCCTCGATGCAGAGAGCAGTGCGAGGCAGGAAAAAGAAGAGACCTGCCTGGGAGTGCCTTCCGAATTTCGGACGGCTATTGAGAGGGAAGAGCTGGACGGAGGGCCAAAATGGCCAGGCCGCATTGCGGCTGTGCAAACCTCCAGGGGAGGAGATCTGGACTGGAGGAAGAGCGGGGGAAGTCATAAGAGGCGGGGGAGGAAGAAGGGCCAGAATGGCACTGCCGTGTTGCAGGGCGTGCGCTGCAGCTGAGAGGCCTGTACGGATCGACCGCGGCGGGGAGGTGGGTGCGCCTGGGCGCTAGCCGAGACCAGACAGCAGGGACCCACCTCCGTGTGGCCCCTCACAGGCACACAGGGACCAAGGGGACCCTGCTACACCTGGACGGGGGCCAAAGAGATGCGCCGGGGCAGAGGCCACGGTCCTCTCATGAGGCACTTGTGGCTAGGACTGTCTAGGTAGTGAGCTGCCGGGGCGAACCAAGAGTATTAGGCCAGCCCACCCCCTAGAGACTCAGCCGTGGCGAGTCTGCGAATTGCTGTGTGAGCTTAGCCGGTCGCTGTTTAGCGAGGCTGCTAAAATGTGCTGCGTTGGCCGCACTAGTGCGGCAAAGTGAGAAGTCGCGCCCATGAATGGCGACTACTCCTGGACAGGGCCCTCTAAAAGAGGGGCCGGTGGAGAAAAGAGCGCTAGGAGGGCTGCCGAGGTAGGTATTAGGCGGCTCCGCCCCTGTGTGGCGCATTGACGGTTGCGCCATGGGCGCCCATCCCATATAGGCCTGAGATGGTGTCGACTGATGCCGCAAGAGTTGCAGTGAGAGTGTGCACCCGAAGGACTCACTGCGGCGGAATGTATGCCGGCTTGGCCGGCCTTAAATTGGAGACACGGTGTCTCCTTTGTTGGAGTTTGGCTCGAGTAAAGAAGGCTTGGGCTGAGTAGGTGGTGGGCTGCAGGCAAACCAGGATCTGAGCAGTGTGCTAACCCACCACCTATGCGTGAGGACCCAGCCGTGGCGAGTCTGCGAATTGAGAATGTGAGCGGCGCTTAGCCGCCTCACTGTTAGCGGGGCTGCCCGAGGTTGCAGAGCCGCACAATGACGGGATGGGCTGGATGCTGCTAGACTCGCGTGGGCTACAACTCAGCTATGCAGGACGGCTCGACCGACCTTGAGTTGGAGTGGCATGGCTCCAGCTGTTTAGGTGGTGGGCTGCCAAGGTGGAGAGAAGACGCTGAAAGGATGTGGAAAGGAAAGTATTAGGCGAGCCCACCACCTAAGTATGCACGCTGCTAGTTGCGCCGAGGTCGCTTAGGACGACCTAGAAGGGCGCTGACTGATGCGTCATTAGTGTGGCTCGCTCAGGCACTGAAGGGCGACGGGTTGAGAGTGCGGGCGGCAGCCGAGAGCGCCGAGAGACCTTCCGCTGTCGCCGCCGCACGCGCCTGGGCCTCTTGCGCGGCAGCCTGCTGCTGGTTGTAGTGGTTCCTCAGCATGGCCTCCACCTCAGAGATGGTCGCCAGGCCTGGGGTCTCGATCCACTCCCAGTCCCAGGTTTCGACGACCTGGCCGTCGATGACGTCCAGCGACTTGATCTTCCAGACGAACGGGTATAGCATGCCGTTGGGCATCTTCCACTCGCCCGGGTATGTGGAGGGCCACCACTTTTTGAACTCGCGCGTGGCGGCCGTGTATTGGGAGCCCTGCCAAGCCGAACCAGCATATGTGTCCCCTGAGAGGCCGAAGAGCTCCCGCGTGGCAGGCGACGCCCTGCTGGCCTCGGCCGCGCCCGCCTCCGCCGCGGCCGCAGCGGAACCACCCGCGGGAGGCATGGGCACCATGGCGGCGTGGGGCGCGCTGAGAGAAGGGGGGGAGTGCCAAGGAAACAAAAAGAAGTAGCCCATAAGCCAACGGCGGCCAAATGTGAGTGAAACCTAGCTGGCCTGTGCTAGCATCTGTGTGAGGAGGGCCCTCCTGACGGGCCGACTGATGCACGCCTGGCCTGGTGCGGAGTCTATAGGGATGAGGATGTTACCGCTACGCATGTTGACCCGCAGCGAAAGGCCGGTGCGGTAGGGTATGCCCGTGCCAAATAGGATGGGCCGTGCATCCATCTCCTGAAGAATGGGGAGGTGAAAAAAGCGCGGCCTTTCCACAGAGGATGGCAGCCTGGTCTCCTGCCCATGGAATTGCTCCATTAGGAGCCCTACATTGATGGGCAGTGGGGACCAGAGCGAAATGTGGCCTGTCGTTATTACTACCAGCCACTGCACTGCTGTAGGCGGTGGTGGCACTGCTTCAGTGGGGGCGCAGCGGAAGTCGCCGTGCTCGAACTGCGGCAGGTGCTGCGCCTCTGGGGTCGGCATGGCCTGAGGGATTAGGGTTCGGGGAGACGGAGGATTCGAGCGAGGTGGGACAACGGGAGGCAGAATGGACGAACCATGATCATGGCCTGGAAGTCTATAAGGATGGGGCTGCCAGCCGCTGCATCCTGCAAAAGCCGGTGAGGGCTGAGGGAGGCCTGCTCCCAGGCCCCCGATTGAAGTAGGACCAGAAAAAGTTGGTTCGGCACGTAAACTGTAACTAGCCCGATGGTGGGTGAGAAACGGGCATCGTAGGGGCCGTCCCCCGCAGCACATTGGGGGTAGATGTGGAGTAGGTTAGGGGAGTTGGCCTCGCGCCATCGGCCATGCCAGCGCTCGAGTGTGCGATTAACGGCCGTGGGCAAATCTAAGTGAAGCAGAGGGCCCACGAAGGAGCGCGCGTGTGGCCATGCGGGCGGCCCGCTCTCGAGCTGCCATGTGGCTTGCCACTGGGGTACCGCATTATGCTGGTACACCGTGGTGGGAGACAGAATGAGTGCGTGGCGCCTTGCGCCGCCGCCGAGAAAGCGGTAGACTTGCTGGTGAGCCAAAAGAAGCCGCTCAGCCAGATGCTTCCATAAGGAAGTCAAGCGAGAGGGTGGTTGCGCGATGCTTCGCGGATCTAATTGTTGCCCCGGGTACGCCTCAGCAGCGGGCACGTCCTCGTCTGCATCGGCGTTGCCCAGGATACTGGGCTCGCTCCTCATGGCCTGATGGGGATGAGGCAGGAAGGGGAGCTGATAGAGGAAAGAGGGAGGGGTTAGGCTTGGGCTGGGGGCTAGCTGCCAGGCAAGGGTCTAGCGCCTGGCAGCCTCACCTCCTTCATGAGGTTTGCGCGGCCTCCTGGGCGACAGACGCTGACCGCAATGCGAAAGGCTTTCGCCATCTCGCAATTGCATCTTAAGGCGCTCCCTGTGTATCCTGTCGATGCGGAGCTGGTCCTGCCTATGCTCCTCTTTGAGCTGAGCAATTTTATTCTCATGCTCCTTGGGAAATGAGCTGCGCTGTTCGTCCGCTGCTGCGGCTGACGCAGCTGCAGCTGCGACTGTAGGCGGCAGGCGCGTAGCTACATGGCCAGAATGGTGAGACTTACGAGCCTTGTGGTGCCTTGTAGGAGGTGAGGCTGGTGACGAGGCCGGGCCGTGGGAATCCTGCGGGCTGCTTTGAGCCTCTACTGGATCTCGGCGCTGTGGCATAGGCTGCTCGTCCGAGGCTGCATCAGACGCTTTGGCAGGCGAACGTGAGCGCTGCGCTGCATGGGCCGCGCGGTGCGCCTTGGCCTTGCGAGCCCTATGGTGCCTGGGGGGAGGAGAGGCTGGAGGTGTCGGCGTGCCGAGGGACTCCTGCGGGCTGCTATGTGCCTCGGCAGGTTTCCTGCGTATCGGCGCAGACTGCTTGAGCGCGCTCTTGCGCGGCTCGGTGCGTAAGCGCGAATTATGGGCCACCTTGGGGGGCTTGGCCGTGAACTCGTCCGCAAATGAGACCTGCTTGCGCTTGCGAGTTGCAGAGGCGCGGGGCGCAGCTGACTGTTCCGCCGGCTCTGGAGAGTCAAGCGGAGGAAATGGTGAGGAGGCAGAGGAATATGAGGCGTCGTCCACCTGATCCAGCCTTCTAGGCGATGCTGGGGGACTAGAAGGCCTGCTTGGCTGGCTCCTGTATGGCGCAGCTTTGCGGGACTGTTTGCGAGGCTCGCGCAGGGGTGGAGGCGAGGTGCACGCTGAAAGGGGTGGAGAAAAAGGAGAAGCCGCCTGGCCTATCCAGCCTTCCGGAATGGCTGCTTTAGCAGGCACCCTGGGATGCTCAGGGGGCGGCAAGGGAGGCAAGGCTGGCGGAGGTGGCGGAGGACGAAAAGTGGCCCCGTAGATGTGCCTGCCTCGACCCATGGGGGGGCCGCTGAAATCGCCAGGCGGCCGCGGGGGATCTGAGGCAGGTGGGGTGCTGGACAGAGAGCGCTGCACCGCTTTGGCTACCTGGGCGAATTGGGCAGGC